ACCCTCCCCAGGCTCGAGAGGCTTTATAGGAGCCTGGGGAGGGTGAAAAGAGCACCCCCCCCCGAGGCCCTCTGGAGGCTTCACAGAAGCTCATGAAGCCTCCAGAGGGCCTCGGGGGGGGGTGCTCTTTTCACCCTCCCCAGGCTCCTATCAAGCCTCTCGAGCCTGGGGAGGGCGAAAAATGGCTTTTAAAAAGGGTGAACTCAGCTGGCCAGCGCGTGCATGTGCGCTGGCCAGCTGACAGGACAGTGCCTCACGTGCCCTAACAAATGGTTCCACATGCCACCTGTGGCATGCGTGCCATAGGTTCGCCATCACTGGGTTAGATAATAGCCGGCAATAGATTGAAATAGATTCCAAGAAAGGTGCTGCTATGTATTTTCTTTCTTAGTAGAAAATAAACACCTGTGCTTTTGAAATGAGTCACATGCTGCCTGATGCTTCCTCTATTTCTCCAGGGTTTAGGTTTTCCTTGTTTTTTTGTGTTTTTTTTTTAGTTAGGGAAGTTGAAAAGGAGAAAGATGGAAATCGGTCTTGAGGTGATTAGAACAGAGCTCCAACACCTCTTTTTGAAGAGGAGTTTTGCTCAAATGGAATTGGAATCAGCTCAAATTGGGGCCAGGCTTAAGGATGGATTGGATCTGCCTTTTCCCTGTTTCCTGAGTGATTCCCGAGGCTCCTGCAATCACATTAAGCTTCACAGAAGTTCTAAGTAATCAGTAATTTATTTATTTACTTTTGAGATAACAATTTCACTCCATTATGTTAGTTAGGCCTGATCTGTAAGATAGAATATGATTACTCCCGATCAACTGTGTTACTTTAAAAACAAAACTTACACTCTCTAAAATGCAAAAGGAAGAAAGAAATTATGTAATAAATGGAATCAGCTGATGACAGAGCAGAGTCCTGCAAAACAACTGATTGTGTTAGCTAGCTGATCATACTGGCATACTTTCTCTTCTTTTGTATTTCGTCTTCATTTGGTGGGATTTGGTGCCAGAAGCCCATAAATAACAGACTTTAGGTGAGTTTAAGACTTACAGTTTTTTGCATCCGATGATATATTGTTTTGCTCTGAGCAATGACTAGCTGCATGATTTGTTCAAAAAAGTTTGCTGCCTGATGCTGAAAATCCAAGCTCCTACCCACTGTTCTCGGGACCTCCCCAGCGAGACATACTTAGGTATCTGTATATCTGTATATGTGTAATGATAAATTAAATAACAGTCAATTTGTCTCCCTTAATGGTTCGGCTGCCTGAGGCAGATGGTAGGGCTGACCTTTATTAACTGGCAAGGAGGCTTAAACAGGAATTGTTAAGCATGGCTGTGATATATATACTCTAGAAGGTAAAAAGAAACTACTCGTCTGTCCCAATTTATGAGCTCACTGAACGCACCTTTTCAGCAGAGATACTTGGCTGCATAGCTGGCTTCAGATTTAAGATGGTTTTTGGCAATGTGCCCTCCGGTATCCCTGACCCTCCTAATATGCATTCCTGTTAATAGCAGCCGCTGCTGCCGTTCTTTGAGTCATACTAACTAGAAACTCAGCACTTTGATTTCACTCAGTGCTCTGTAGGAAGTTAACACCCCCCCCCCTCCTAGAAAAATGAAATATCCTGGGAAATATTGAAAATGCAGAATATTATATTTCCCTGGTTAAGAAATGGAGAAACATGTTTTAGGCAGGAAATAGACTCACTCTTAATAGCCCCCATCTTTGTCTATGGGCCATTAAAAGGTCTGAGTTAATCTATTCTATATAACAAAGATACCCTCTTCAGCTCCAGAGTGATGGGATTAAGTATTAGCCCTTTACTCATTTCACCACAGGGCACCTGGGAAGAAGCAATGCTCAACCAAACTTGGACTCAAAACATAGCCTACAGAGGTCCCTGCATGGCCCTATGGGAGTCTGACAACCAATCAGAATACAAGCTCAGGTTCAAAGTCCAGATAAGGCATAAAACCAGGGATTTTCAGCATCTCTGCCTCTTTTCTTCTTCATCCAACATCTTGAAGCATGTGATTCCTCTTTTCTGTCCAGGAGCTCAACTATGTTGTCCTGTCTACCATTAAACCATCCTTCCCAGCAGCCTCCATGTTCCCAGTGTCTTTTTCCCTACTTGGAACTGAACCCAGAAGGGCATTTCATCCAACAGTTCCAAACGAAGTGTTGCGCTGAAGCCACAATTGTCAATGTTGACTTTGAAATAGTCCCAATTGGTAGGAGCAGCACACTGAGGTGGTTATTGTTGTCCCTTGGCCTGGCTCTTCCAAAGAAGGAAGTTTATGAGGTTTCCTTCCAAATGAATGCCACTTAACAGGTTTTTTAAATCGGTGGCTCTATTTGGGAATTGGCTAATTGCTACATTCTGGCACATATAAAGCCCTGGGTTCTCCAATTGCTGGTCAGTACTGGTTAAAGGAAGATGGAGCAGCAGCTGCCTCCAATTGCTGAACTTTCTTTGGGTCCAAAATACAAAAGAAAGAAAAGGGCATTTATCAAGGTCAGATTTATAAAGGTCTCCTGCTTGAGCAGTGGGTTGGACTAGAAGATCTTCAAGGTCCCTTCCAACTCTATTCTGACTGATCAATTGAATACCACATTTGGAACCACACATGTGCATGAGACTAAAATTTACAATATCCTAAACTGCCTGTCTTTTCCTGATGGATATGTTTCACAGTGTATAGGTTTGTTTAGCAACCCACTCCCTTTTTAATTTTTTTTAAAAATTTTTTATTAAAGAAGTATTTTTACAAAGGTAAAAGAAACATGGAAAATATAAAAGAAAGTAATCAAAAAGGTAAAAAAACAGTGCTGAAATCAATAGAAAGGGAAGAACAAAACAAACTTAAAGCAGCAACGTCTGATCTTTTCTACAGCAGTTGTTGACATACAGTACTTAAAACTGTTTTTTTTTAACCTCCAAATTAGATTACGTGATTCCATTCTCCCCATATTCATTTGTTATTAACTGGTCAATTTAGAAATTGCTAGGTTATTTCTATCCATTTTCAATAAAAAGCCCATAAAGGTTTTTTTTTATAACGGGGTCTCCAATCCCTGGGCCACGGACCGCTACCAGTCTGTAGCCTATTGAGAACAGGGCCATACAAGCTGTGGATGTGTACAAAACTTAATTTGTGTATGTGCAGGAGCTAGGTTGTATGCGTGAAACCACCTTGCTGCTGCCACTGCTGCTATCAGTCCATGGAACCAGAAAAGTTGGGGTCCACTGTTTTATAAAGGACCATTTTTGTTCCCTCCATAATAAAACAAGTCAATGGAGTCANATATGGGTGAAAATACGGTACTACAACCACAGGGAATCAGCATAAAACACAAGCCAACTAAAGCCCTTCAAAACATCCTAAGCAGATCAAAAGACAACAACACCAGAAGATAGAAGAGGAATCATCTACAACATATAATGTAAGGACTGCAACAACCACTATGTAGTACAAACAGGCAAAGACTGTCAGAATGCATCCACAAATACCAACTAGCAGCCAGAAGACATGATGAAAATTCTTAAATTTCACACCATGTACATAGATTTAACTATAGTTTCAATTGGGAAAATGTGACTATCTTAGATCAAGCCAAGTCCAAAAATGCCAGACAAATCGGCCATCAATAGACACATAGGAAATAACTATATATATAGACTATGCAATAGAGACTATCACCCAGCCCAAAAGGAAACAAAAAGACCCAAGTACCTCTCCACCAGCAATCAGCATTAGATATAAGATGATATCTAATCAGCATAGATTAACTTCAAGGTTAACATCAGACGAACAATCAAGTAAACAATACATGAAACTGCCAAAGAGTCAGCAGCAAACAGCCCAACAAAGAATCTTTAAGACCATACCCACAAACACTGACTGGCAAGCCACTAGAATATGAACTGACAGCAAACTGCACTCCTTACCAGCACTGATGATGTTACCTAGTTTGGGTAATGAAACGTCTACAAGAAAACAACGAAGCTCAGAGAACACAGAAGGACCCCTTCTATCACTATCTTCAAACCAAACTGGAGAATTTCATTCTGTCAAGTCACTGTCTCTTTTTTCTCAACATAGAACACTAAGACAACACATAGTTCTATCTTATCTTCTACTTTATTAGGAACTCCTCACATTTTAGAAATCTCCACTTCTTCACTCAGCATTTCAGAAATCTCCGTTCTTTACTCAAGGCAGATGGAAGGGTCACAATTCTTCTAGTTCTACTTTGTCAGGAACTTCCCCAATTTCAGAACTCTTCTCACAGATTCAGCCAGACTATATAAATGTTTCAAATTTTCTCTACATTTCAATTTTTACAAAGTATTGGACACTTTTAGACAAACCTGGAGTTCTCTGGAAAGTACAACATTTGAAAGATCAAGAGGTGCTGGGCTGTAGCCATTCCCCTGTTGTCAAAAGAAGATAAATTGGCCATTATTGTTCATTCTTGAGATGACTTTCAGGTTGAATTATAGAAACAGGAGGAAATTTAAAAATGCACAATTTTGTATTTAATTTTAAACAATAAAGTAATAAGCAGATTGTTCTTATTCTTTATTATATTTAAGATAATATAAAGAGTTATGGACTTCATCACCTTAGCAATTGCCATGCATTAAAAACTATACAGTTCACAATCCTTCCAGATATTTGGCAGAACATGATAATGATTTGAGTGGCAAAGAGGCATTGAAATAAGGAGCAGATCTGAGCAGTTGACACTAGCTTTTAAAAAAGTAAATAAACTGGTTAGCTACCTGAACTTAAGACTGGAATTTCATTAGCAGATTACATGCTGTTATGTCTTTTCAGTTCTTTTACATATAATTTTATTAAGGATTTTGATTGTAGTAGTAACAACTAATATAAATTAAGCTTAAAGAAATAAAAAAGAAAAGTAAAAGTATAAAACCACAAGACAAAAAGAAATAAAGAAAAGGAAGAAATATAATCAAGAAAATGAAAAGAAGTATACAAATATGTAACTCCAAACAATCATCACAAGTATAAACAAATGTAGTAATTCTTAATTCCCCAATAAAGTTAAATAGATATCTCTCCATCCCATATCCCATCCCTTATGTACAATCAAATCCAGAAAATATAAACTTTTCAATCCTGATGTCAACAATATTTAAGATATACAATATGCAAAAAAGAGCAATTACAAGAAAAAAAATTAAAGGAAAAAAGCAATGGAAGGTGATGCGTATCTTCACTAGATAATCTATATTAAATGTTTGGCAAAAAAATAATGTCTTTGTATTGAACAGAAATAAACACTGATGGTCACCAAATTCAGCAGGATACAATGCTAAAAGAAGTATTAAACAATTACATTTATTAAAACTGGTTGTGTATCTTTAATAGCAATTATTAAAACATTACTCCCAAGAGGTTAATGTTTTCAGTCTTTCTCTGTATGTGGTAGGAGTTTTAGAAGAAATTATACACCAATCCATATGTTAAGGACTGGTATATTAAATTAGCTGTTTTCTCTTCGTTCAGTATTTTTGATAAATAAACCATGTAATATTTATTGTGACCAAATGTTCCTGAATTAATTATCTCCATTTAAATAAACTATTTCTTTTTTGCTGAAAACAGTAGATAGTTTGCTGTTCTACATCTGTGCTGCTTAGCCACAAAATTTGCATGTGGTTATGTAGGTATTTGCAATTTTATGTCGATGTACGAATATCGACATTGCAACAAACACAATATACGAAACTAAAGTTCTCACATTTTTGCAAAATAAAGTTGCCTTATTATCTTTCAGTGACATGGCAAATGGCCATAATTATACATTGCATAAACTATAGAGACAAAGCCTTGACAAAGTCCTGTCCTATTGTATACCAACTACGTTAGCTCAATGAAAATTATAGACTTTTTAAAAAAAATACAAAGATATTCATTTAACTTATGATTCATTTATCCTTGTCATGTCAGAAATTTGAATATTATGTAGAACAGGAGCCTCAGTTTCTTTTAATGAGTTTTAGTGGTTGTATAGAACAGCTAACATATAAGACCTGATTTGACCATGATATGCATAATTTTTCATGGTTGATCATTTATTTTAGAAAATTTATATGGTTGCCCAATTCACTCTCAGTGACTCTGGGCAATTGACAAAGATAAAAACTCAATATAAAAACATAAGAAACAATAACCCCCAGAAGTCAATAGGTTGACTTCTGGGGCACTAAGAGAAGAAGGTTGTTCCTATATTTTGCTACTCTGAATCTTCCCATGTTTATATAGTAAAGCAAGATTTACTAGTGGTAGACTTTATCATTTGATTTCTACTAATTCATTGTCTGACTTATGTAAAATTAAAGGAATGTGTCAACCCTGAAGCTGATCTGACCGAAGCCATTTTGAGGGTTCAGTGTTGCCACACTGGAGCTGAGGGATTGGGAGGGATAGGGAGGGAGGAATAGAGTAGCAGGAATTTTGTAGCCAAAACAAAATACTTTCTCCTGGGAACCAAGGACATTCTCACACCTGATCAGAGAGAATGGAGCAGTGACATTACCAGGCAACTGGACAGCGCCTTGATTGGACCATGTGACTGATTATTTGGGGAAGGGGGAAAACATTTACTTTTAATTAGGTGAAAACCATGGGAATCTTCAGAGTCGGTTTTCACCAGAACTGTGCCAATATGATATATGCCATAAAATATTATTT